ATAATAACCAGATGGTAAGTATTATATTATAAATTAACTTTTACAACACAAAATAAACTTTATCAAAACATCATCTAATTGAATAATTTTATTTTTTATTTTAATAGATTGTGAGTATTATATTATAAATTAACTTTTGCAACACAAAATAAACTTTATCAAAAAATCATCTAATTAAATAATTTTATTTTTTATTTCATTATAATAACAGAGAGTAAGTATTATATTATAAATTAACTTTTGCAACACAAAATAAACTTTATCAAAACATCATCTAATTGTATAATTTTTTTTATTTAATAGATTGTAAGTATTATATTATAAATTAACTTTTGCAACACAAAATAAACTTTATCAAATCATCATCTAATTATTAAGTAAATTTATTTTTTATTTCTTTATAACAACCAGTTGGTAAGTATTATATTATAAATTAACTTTTACAACACAAAATAAACTTTATCAAATCATCATCTAATTAAATATTTTTATTTTTTATTTCTTTATAATAACCAGTTGGTAAAGTATTATATTATAAATTCATCTTTTACAAGACAAAATAAAAAATCATCTAATTAAATATTTTTATTTTTTTATCCTTTATAATAACCAGATGGTAAGTATTATATTATAAATTAACTTTTACAACACAAAATAAACTTTATCAAAACATCATCTAATTAAATAATTTTATTTTTTATTTCTTTATAATAACCAGATGGTAAGAATTATATTATAAAGTAACTTTTACAACACAAAATAAACTTTATCAAAGCATCATCTAATTAAATAATTTTATTTTTTATTTTAATAGATTGTGAGTACTACATTATAAATTAACTTTTGCAGCACAAAATAAACTTTATCAAATCATCATCTAATTGAATAATTTTATTTTTTATTTAATAGATTGTGAGTATTATATTATAAATTAACTTTTGCAACACAAAATAAATTTTATCAAAACATCATCTAATTAAATTTTTTATTTTTTATTTCATAGGGAGTAAGTAAGTATTATATTATAAATCATCTTTTACAACACAAAATAAAACATCATCTAATTAAATAATTTTATTTTTATTTCTTTATAATAACCAGCTGGTAAGTATTATATTATAAATTAACTTTTACAACACAAAATAAACTTTATCAAAGAATCATCTAATTAAATAATTTTATTT